CCCCAGTCCTTCTCCTCAGGGCTGCGTAGTAATAAAAGTCTTAGGAGAGACAGAAAGTCTCTTGATTGTCTTAATTCTCTTTTCATGCTTCTTCCAGCATTGGTAGTCTTAATTTTGTTTCTGTAAAATTGTCAGTTACTTATATAATTTTAGGTTCTATTCTTTTCTACGAAGTGTTGTATTGGGTAGCAAATCCTACAATTTTTAAAAATCAAACAAAACTCCCTTAAATTTGTCTCTCCATATAGGAATGTTGCTTATTCAAAAAAGTATTTTGAAGAGAGAAAACTATAAATGCAGTACTGCCAGAGGTCTGAAAAATATTTTGGTTGGTATTCTTGTATAAGTAAGTTGTATGTGATCTGTTGTCTATTCAGTTAGTTTAGAAAAGAATGCCAAATAATTGATTCTCAGATTAAATTTTTGAACCTGCAGACACCTAGGCACATCAGGACTGTTGATTCTTGCTTCCAGTCTGAATGATTCAATTGGATAAAAATTAAATTGTCTGATTGAATTGCGTCAAAGGACTGTGTATCAGGCTTTTAAAGGTAGCTGTGTTTACAGTTTATTTGCAAAGAGAGAACAAATGCTATTGTTTGGGAGTTACAAAAATTTTCCATGTATGTGTTGCAAATCAAAGGGATTGTACAATGACAGTGTATAAAGAAGGGGTTGTCTGAAGGGATAATACTGTCGTCATATTCTCAGTGTGAAAGAAATGCAGGAAGAATGTGAAGGCTTGAGAGATGTGTAGTAATTAAAATCGTTTCTAGAAGCATGATGAGACGCATTAAAATAATAAGCGTTAGTATCCTTTGACTTGGAAAAGGCGTAAGTATAGGACGTGAAAGGGCAGACAATGTAAAAGACATCGTATATGCTCTTATTTCTGGTTTACAGAGAAATAATATAAGTAATTAAATAGCAGCAAAAAATGTTTAAAGACAATCCCCGGACTATGGGAATTATGAGTAATTTGGCTGTAGAAGACATTTATTTTAATCTTTTTTTGATAGCAAATATTGGTTCTATATTAACAGAAATAATCCCTAATATAATAATCATGTTAGATGTCATAAAGCAGTAAATGTAAGGAATTTTGTGCTCTGACAGTTTTGCATAAAATGTATATTGCATGATTTATTAATTATATTATGTCATAGAATCACAGAATGGTTTGGGTTGGAAGGGACCTTAAAGACCATCTAGTTCCAACCCCCCTGCCATGGGCAGGGACACCTTCCACTAGACCAGACTGCTCAAAGCCTCATCCAGCCTGGCCTGGATATATGTCTGTGTTAATATATGGTTTCCCATTATGCTTCATCTTTATTTAAGCAAAATTCCATGACTTCATGCAGTGTAATATCTAACTAAAACTGAATCCCAGAATGTTGTCTTTTAGAACTGTTTATTTCAGGTTTTTTAATAAATCCACTGAATTTTTTGTTTCAGAATGAATTAAGACCAATTTACAAAAATCTCACCTGATCAGTTACTGATTCCTGTGCTGGCATACAAAGAAGCACTGATGTGATACTAACCTTTTAATTCTTCTCTTCTGTTATCTTGCAGCTGTAACTAAAATTACTTCTGCGTCAGCTGTTGCAGGGCGAGCCATTTCTCAGAGTTTGGCTGTGGATGAAACTGTAATGCCAACTGCTGCAGAGAACAGCACAGTCTATGTAGCTGATACAGAAATACAAGAGCAGATGTGGTAAAGTATTCCTGGATATAGTTTCTAGGCTAATCCTTGCGAGTAAAGTAATCTCTGTGGCAGAGGAACTGTATCATTGCCATGGACAAAGATACCCAGTGTTTGAAATGGCTCTAAATTGTTGTCAGTTGTCTGCAGTGAGATGATTTCTGCTTTTGAGTGGTAGAACATGGGATTCTTTCAGATACAGATGTAGATACTGCATATCTGATTTGACTGTCTCAACTATTACAAAATTTTCAGGCCATTTCAGTTACAAAAATATGTTTGTCGTAGCGGATTTTACAGTTTTTTCAGCCTGCCTACATTGTTTATAAATATGTTCAAAGACAGGTATAGCTTTTTAAAAAAGTGGTATTCTGCACTGTGTCTCTCTGGTAATGTCTTGTGTGTTCACTTGATGTTTTTTCTCTCTAATATAGTATGGAGACAGAGAATACTCCCCAGCTGGACAGAAGAAGGAAAATGGTTTTCCAGGATATAACCACTGTAGAGGAAAACCCTAGCACAAGTGGCAGTGTAAATGCAGGATCATCGGTACCTAGAGTGAACAGAACATCTGGGTTTAGTCAAAGAAGTCATCCTGTCTCACCATCTAAAATTTCAGAGGCTGGTAAACCTAAAGAGTGTCCTTCACATCACCAGTCTAACTCAATTACAAATTACTTCCAGGTAGCTAGAAAAAGGTATGTTGAAATGTTCTTGACGTTACTTCCCATATTGTTGGTGCTGTTTCTGGAAAATAACTTTAACTGAGTGGGTGTACATTTAATTCAAAACGTTAAAAAGAGGTGATTTTTAGGTTAGCTTCCTAGAATGGCAAGCTTTTCCTTATGGGTACTTAATGTTCAGATTTCACAATGCAGCCACTAAAACCCCAGGAAACTGTTGTAGATGCAGCTAGTTGGGTTAAAAAATGCTTTTGTAATTTATTTCTTTTGCAATTACTTTCTGGCTAAGGGAAAGAAACACCTGTATCCAAACTAGCAAAATTGGAGGAAAGGTCGTCGCCTGTTTCCAAGTGCGCTGAATCCACAGCTTCGTCAGTATGGAACATTGAAGCAGAACGGCGTCAGAAGGAAAGTAACATCCTGGACCCAGACACAAATTTTGCATTAGAAGATGCCGGTGTACATCTTATGAGGGAAGCTGGCAAAGTAGCAAGTGATAGAACAGACACTAAAGTTACTTCTAGTGAAAAGCATTCATCAAAGAAGAGAAAGGTGTTAGATGATTTGTCGGAAGATACAGAGGATCTGGAAATTGTGTTTGGAAGCAGAGACCTAGACTGGGAAGATCAAACTGCAGATCACAACCAGGAAGCTCAAGGAAATAAACGAAAAAAAGTGTGTTTGGAAGCCAAAGGAAGCTGGATTCAAGATGTAAGTGAAAAGCAGAGAGAGGACAATAAAACATTGGTAAGTTCTGTTCTTTTCATGGGCCTAATCTTGAAATGTACAGCTGTGTTAGAAGGGTGCAGATAGCTTATTGAAGGATGAGGCTGCCTGCACACAGAAGGTGGCTTTGTAAAGTTTGTTTGCTTAAAGGTCTCAAATCACTCAACTAAAAATTGACATGGTGGGTGTGTTACATGTGAACATTGCAGTGTTACACCTGTCTTGATGTTCCTTTCATTCTTCAGGACACAGTTTCTTTGAGAATTGAAAGCTGCTTGTATGCTGAAAGTTTTCCTCTCCTTATGCTTGAAGTACTTTAGGTAGAACAGCAGAATATATCCCTGGTCCAAGAAAAAACTTGTCACGTTGTAGACTGTATTAATTATCCTAAAATAATTATACTATCTTTATGTAGTGAATTTTCTTCAGAAACTTTTAGTTGACCTCTTCTGTTGATTGTCACGGTAGTGTCCAATGTATTTCAAGTCAGAATCTCCAGATGTCACATGAAAGATTATAAAAATTCCTGGATGAGGCAATTCAAATCACTAATGTCCTCTTAAAAAAACAACTAACAAAAAAAACCCAAACCACCAAAACAAACAACCAAACAAACAGAAGAATCCACCAAACCCCCCTCCCCAGCTTGTAATTAGTTTTCTTGATTATTTCTCTGGTTTTGTTTTTGAGAATAAGGCAGTTTTCTAAGAAAAATGAAGATTACAATGGATTTTAAGTTAACAGTAGCTACTAAATTTGGAAATTGTAAATAATTTATGAAAGACAAATCTGGTTTTAAACTATGGAGGAAAACAACCTGCAGAATACTTTCCTCTCCTGCAAATTTCCATTCTGCACATATATACACTTAACATGAAATTGATAATGCTGCTTTTCATATTTAAAAGCTCTTACAGTATTTTCCAGAACATGTCAGGACTTTGAAGGTTGTACACATGGACAAAACTTGCTACTGGTATAAGAAAAAATCATGTGAGAAAATGGTGATTTTTTTTTTTTTAATAGGAGAAAAACAATTGTTATAGTATACATAAAAATCATATAAATTTAAAAGTTCAGTTTCTTTTCTGTCTGAATATTTATATTGATTTTAAAAATGCTTATTCCATTCTAAAAAACAGAAAACAATTTTATGGAACGAACTTTGCATTTAATTTCAGTGTTACATTTTAAATAATTTTTAATCAAACAGAAAGAGGAGGAACTCCGGTCTGTTCTGACAGAAATGAAAAGCGAGATCAAGCAAGAGTCGCCGGTCTTGGTAAGAAACCAGTTAACTGTACGTTTGAAGAGCAGACTTAGAGATGAGATCCACAAATACTGTGTTCTTAAAAGAAAAGTGTTGATGCTTTTTATTAATGCTTGCCAGAGCAAAGGAATTACTGATGACTGTATTCCTTAAAATAATCATATGTAAATTTGAATGGTAGAGTCCAATTATTGACTGAAAAGACAGGACTGTCGTTCATCGGCGTGCCTTTGTGTTGGCATTTGGATGGATACCTAAGATACCTAAACTAAGGAAACCTGATGTAATTAACCCTTTTATTAACCTGTTATTAACCCTTCAGTGTGGTTAATACTTGTACTGATGTCTTAAGTTACTGCTTAAAGACCAGGCAAGAATGTAATCTCCTTGTCTGCTCTAAGGAGATCACAACTAGAATGGAAGAGATGGATGGCTGAGAAGATCGATGTAATGACTAACAGTAAATAGCGTGCTAACTTAGTTAGTTATAGGTGAGGTGGATGAAGGAAGGAGGGGCGAATCGCTGGGAATGGCAGTGAGGCAGAGGAAAAGGAAACAAAGCTAAATGTAACTGAAATGGAAAGACCCCAGAGAGATAAAGGAGAATGTAGGCAGCCAGCAAGGAGCGGGATAAAACCTTCACACATACATACAGAAAACATCCAAAAAGAGGGAATGCTGTGCACATGTACCAAAGTGCAGGGTCAGCTCACATTAAGGCATTTTTATAGTTTGCTATAAAACAGCTGTACTGCATCTGGACTGGAGCTGCCCGTGAACATGGTTCAGTGTGTTACTCATGAACTTGTCCTGCGCCCAGATTGCCTTTTTAATCCACATAGGTCTATCTCCAGCAGCAACGTGTGTGTGCAGACTTGCTGACGTGTGAGCACTCATTTACAAGAAAAAGCTGCTTCGTTGATCAGCTTAGAGCCCTAAAATTGGCCTAACAGGTAAATCTGTAGGCTAGAAGCGAGCTGAAGACGTTCAACTTTGTCTTCCTTGGAGTTAGCTGGAGTTTCCACTAGAGTAAGCATACTTGGTTAAATTAGTTCAGGTAAGAGGCAGGGTGGAGGGGAGAAGTCATTCTTAGATATTAACTAAATAAAAAAAAAATCCCCAAACTGTTTAACTTGAAGTTTTATCTTGAAGTAAAGTCCTAGTGAAATGAGGTACACTGATTTCATTATTATTACTGCAGTTCTTAATGATCCTGTTGTTTTGACATATGTAAATGTGGAAGAAGTAAGTACTGAGCCTCCAGCTCTACTGGTAGTATACAAGGAGGCCGAGAAGTACATCCATCTTTGGCTTCTAGCACTGCTGCTGTTTCCTCTCGCCCTTTTGTAATCCTAACTTTTGCCTCAGCTGTGCTCACGATAAATTCTTTCTCTGAAGTTTATACAGTTAGGCATTCTGTATGTCTGTTTATACACTTGAAGTGCTCCTTCCTTTCTCTTCCCACGTAAGAGCAACAACAAACTTCAAGATGACTCCAGCAATCTTCCTAGCAGACTTCTGTTGACTGAGTTTAGATCATTGGTTGTCAGCCGTCCAAGACAGAACATTCCGCTTACTGGAAATACCAGCTACGGGGGAAAGAAGAATTTCAAAATGTTCAGAAAGGTTAGTGTGCATTTGAAATGGTCACAAGATGGCACTGTTTAAAAACACTACAGAGTATTGCCTTAAAATTGTAGAAATAAGTTATGAAAGATTCTTTTTTTTAAAATTGATAGTAACTTCAGAAAGACACAATTTAAATATCATATTCTACTCTAACCAAATATTTTGCTAATTGACTAAATAAGTCTTAGGCTGACCAAGGCTTACCTCATGCAAGGTTGTTTAGATACTTGAACTCTCTAATCCTAGCTGTTACTTAGAGTAAGTCATGAAGTGATGCCTACCGTAACTTCCAGTTGTACCTGCAAACGCTCGCAATTTGACTTCTCCAGAGAGCTTCAGAATCTTGCATTTTATGTAATAAATCTTGGGTTTCTAAATACAACTAAATCTAGTATCTTACAGAAGTAGAGAGGCTTGCTTGGGTCCTAAAGATAATTTCAGGATGATTCTTAGTGTTCGGTGTAAAAGTACCCCTTCAGCTCATATTAAAAGTAAATGAAAAAAAATTATATATAATTACTAGAAATGCATTGCAGTAAAATATTATGCAGTGAATGTGAGTCACATAATGCAACTTCCAGCTTTATGGGAGTACGCTCTCATTTTTAAATAACACTTTAAATTTCTGAGAGTACTTTCTTGTCCACTGTTTTGTAATAGATTCTTACGTGTTCTGACATTAAAATAGAATCCATCAGTAAAAACCAGTTTATAGTGTTTTCAAATTCAGTTTAACATACTGTCAGATTTATTCAGCATGTGCAACATGTCAGCTCTTTTGTTTTTTGTTTTCTTTGGTAAAAGGAGGGAGTTAATTGCTCTCTGTAAATGCTTTTTTTCACTTCAGTCTCTTTTAAATATGATCTCTGATAGAAGTTACTCAACAAAAGGCTAATGGCTGACTTCTGTGAAATGTGAATAGACTTCCTGAATTTGTTAAAACAAACTTTTTTTCTTGCAGTGTGCTTACTTTGTATTGTAATCGTAAGAATTTATTGTCTGACAGGTGGCCTATCCAGGGGCAGGACAACTTCCATGCATTATTGGAGGATCAGATTTGATTGCTCACCATGCTAAAAAGAATTCAGAGCTAGAAGACTGGCTAAGGCAAGAAATGGAGGTAAGGAATTCTTTCTCAGTGCTGAGCAAACAGCAACTTGACTCATGTCATACCAACCTGTGGTCATTTCTGAAATGCTTCAGAATTTATTTTTGAAATAAAAACTCAGCCAGTTGGCTGTCCACACATGCTTGTAGGAACATGTATGTTAGGAAAGTTACGGGAATTCAGAGGTTGGTGGTAAGGCTAATTTTTTTTCTGATTATTTGAATTCATTTTACATGTAACATCCATAGAATCGGAAAAAAATTATTTAAGCAAAATCAGTAACCTAAAAGAGACTGATCTTCTTTTCAATAAGCAAGGGAAGCATTGTGATGCCTGAAAATGTGACTGAGACCTAGGAAGAACTTCTGTGTGGCAGTCCATGTTCAAATTATAATACAGTGCAATTTACACTCTGTACTTGAACAGAACAGGAAATACTGAGGTAAAATTCTGTTGCAGTAGACTGAAGACATAGTAAGAATAAGTTCAATATTTTGTATTATAAAAATCTTCACCTTTGTATGTAAAAGTTTATAGCTGTTCTCTAGCACTTTAATTTACCAGTAGTTTCTTTAAAAATACTTGCTGATGAGCTGTATTATGTTTCCACAGCCTGACTGAGATTCTATTACATCAACATTTTTTTATCTGCTTTTTTTTTTTCCCCTCTCTTTGTCCCTGGGTATAGATAATGCAAATTAAAATTGGTATCTTGCACAAACTAATCCATTCCATTAACTGGAGGCAGTAGCCAAACTTGAGTAGTGCAACATATTATCTAATGTGAATGTACACTAAATGGAGTACTGGGAGAAAACATTTCTTCAGGAAAAACTGTTAGTGCAGGGATTTATCATTCTGTATTGTTCACTAGCTTCAGCCTACACATCAAGTATTGAGTAAACCTGTTTTCTCAGGAGCAGAACCGACATGCAAGAGAAGAATCGCTTGCTGATGACCTCTTCAGGTAGGAGTTTTATGTCTGTACTTAAAAAATGTGCATAGTTTGCATCGCATCTTTTTTTTTTTGACAGACTCCAATTTTGTAAAAGACTTATTTGACTATCCTTTTGAAAATTCCATGTATTCTCATATATAGAATATACCCCAAATGACTCATCAACTTCTCTCAATTTTTTTTATGCCTTAAACTTCAAATTTAATTCAGACTTGCTACAATTTTTTAATAAGAACATTCTCAAACAAAAATATTGCTATTTCCTGTCTCATATGCACAAGCTCAATTCTTCACAAAGGCTGGAAGAGATTGCAGGGTCAGGCTTTCAGCCAGTAGTGGTTGCTAGTGCCTAATGAAGTGTTTTGATCTTACAACTGAGTTGGTCATCTCAACTCCCAGGAAGTTGTGAGGGGGTCTGCCACTTTTTCCCTCTGGTTGTGGCACTTGTTTGTCCCTGTGCTAAGTCACTTGAGGGAGTTAAAGCCACAAAATACTGATTTCTGTGAAAAAAGTGATTGGCAGGACTGCTTTCTTTTTTGTGTTTTTGAAGTCATAATTCCAAGAGTTTAAAACAAAAATTACAAAAAAACCCACAAACAAACAAACCCCCTAAGTAAATGCTTCAGTGTGGCCCCTCTTTGTCCCTTATTTTTGAGACCTTAAGCTGTTTTCAAACCCATTCACAATGAAAATCTCCCACCTTCTTTTACTAGTTAGAATCTCCCTGAATACCTTACCCTCTTTCCAGTTTTCAGACTGAGGAGGCATTCTGTGCTCCTGGCAGCGTAGTAGAGTCATTAATTCTGCCTTCATCAGTGCTTAAGTCACAGGAGTTGGAGAGATTTCTTTCGTAGGTCCAGGTTCACCTTGGCTGTTTACCATCGCTTTTTGTCATAACTCACTACATTTATTTCTGAAATACAGTCTGTTTCAGCAGTTTTCTTCAGTAACCCTCACATCAGTTGCCTACCACTTACTCTAATCTCTCATTTGAAAGAGAATCATCCTATTCAGTTGATTTCCTGTCCAGTTACTTTCAGCTGCAATCCTAATTTAATGATTTATAACCACTTTGTAATTAAAAATAGTTCTAGGCCAAATTTTCCATTTTATCCAGTTTTTACCTCTGCAATGCAGCCTTTAAATACATGTCAATTATGAAGACATTTACAAAAACATGGTGCAGATTGACTGCTGGACTGTAATATTAAGTGGTCCAAAATAGCTTGATTAATTTTAGCATTTCAAAGCACAGCAGTGGAAACTTAGATCCTTTGCAAGGATTCATGCTTAGGGAAGTTTTTACCTCAACCCCAGTTTATTTAGGATAGTTGTACTTACAGAAGTTTCCACAGTCAAAAATATTAAACCACGCCATTTAATGTTCAGCAGTTTGTAACCTACTTCTGATTTTGTCCTTAATCCTGAGTAAAACTACTTGGCATAATGCTAATGTTAACAGCTGCAATTTCCCGTGAAAATTGCTTTTGAAGTTGCCATTAGAAAAAATCATGCAGTACTCCAAGGTAAAGATGAAAAAGAAAGAAAAGCTGTACCCCAAACTGAATACATACTGAGATAGAGGAGAAAGGGAAGGGCTATCATACTGCCTGCTATGGCTACAGCTAAATGGATTATGTTCAGTAATAGCCCTTTGTATCCTCCGCTCCCTATTCCCAGAAAGGTCTTTTGTTTCTTTGTGCATTCACTCACAGTAGTGGAATCTCTGTAGTCCTTTTTCCATTTCAGGCCACAGGCATTGTACAGTTTCCCTTCTCTAATAATGTTGTTCGGTTTCTTCCTGCCTGGAAAATATCATCCAAGGTTCATTTAACATGCAGAATGGCTGGAGATGAGGTGGGGGAGGTTGCATAAAAGGATGTTTGTGACTGTCAGTGACAGCATCTCCACAGACTGTCACAGACAGGGTTGAAGTTCTTGGTGTCTTGATGGCAGGATTCCATCAAAGAATCATAGAATTATTTAGTTTGGAAAAAGCCTTTAAGATCATGAACTCCAGCCATTTACCAGGTACTGCCAAGTCCACCACTAAACCATGTCCCTAAGCAGCACATCTACACATTCTGTATCACCCCCTTCTGCTTATCTTTCTGCCGTCTGCCCCCAGTCCCCCAAAATAGGATTGGGTGTCCAGGACATACTTAAATGTTAGAACTGATGTGTTACACTGCTATAGCAATAAATTCAAATAAGTGCTTTGAGTTTTAAATCAGGATCTCATCTTATTTAGCCAATATTTCATTATTTTCTTAGTTTTTATGTGAAGACACAAGCAACCACTGTTCTACTTCTCGCCTGTCATGTCATAGAATCACAGAATGGTTTGGGTTGGGAGGGACCTTAAAGACCATCTAGTTCCAAACCCCCTGCCATGGGCAGGGACACCTTCCACTAGACCAGGTTGCTCAAAGCCTCATCCAGCCTGGCCTTGAACGCTTCCAGGGATGGGGCATCCACAGCTTCTCTGGGCAACCTGTTCCAGTGCCACACCACCCTCTCTGTGAATAACTCTTCCTGATATCTAATCTAAACCTCCCCACTTTCAATTTAAACCCATTACCCATAGCAGAGGTGCTCCAGCCCTCTGAGCATCTTCGTGACCCTCCTCTGGACTCGCTCCAACTGGTCGATATCTGTCATATGTTGAGGGCTTAACTATTGCTGTGTCTTTGACTAACAATAAAAATAGTGTATTTAAGTAGAAAAATGTGTATGGTGAAGGATGTTTTTGTCCAAATCACTATCAAAGAAACATGGTACTACATATCAGCTTGTGTAAGAGCCATTCAGAAAATCTTAACTGCATTAACCGCTTGTGCCGTTAACTAACAGTTAATAAGAGAGCGTTTCTTTCAAAGGGTACACATTTTATTTTTGCCAGAAGTTTGAATTGTATAGCAACAGCAGTGATTTCTAATACCTTTCTAGTTATGCAGTGAGGTAATTTGGCTCACAAGTTGTCACATTTTCCTGTCTAAGCAAAAATAAGTCTTGATGAATGAGATCAGAATTAGTGGAAGTAAACCTGCCAGATCGTTCAGTTGTGTCCATAAGTTATTCATGCATAAACATAAAACACATCAGAATTTCAAAGAAGTGACACAGGATTTTGAGAGATGAAGCACAAATGGCGAGAAGGCCAAGGGATAACTGTGTCAGACAGGCAAACTATGAGCGTGTTGCAGTAAATCAGGTACCTATTTAGCCTATCCAGAAAGTAGATACAAATTACTACGGATCAGTCAGAAGCTCTGTGAAGGGGAAGGTGAGGCAAGGAACTGCTTTATCATAGAATCACAGGATGGTTTGGATTGGAAAAGACTTCAAAGACCATCTAGTTCCATCCCCCCTGCCATGGGCAGGGACACCTTCCACTAGACCAGGTTGCTCAAAGCCTCATCCAGCCTGGCCTTGAACACTCCCAGGGATGGGACATCCACAGCTTCTCTGGGCAACCTGTGCCAGTGCCTCACCTCCCTCTCCGGGAAGAACTTCTTCCTGATATCTAATCTAAACCTCCCCACTTTCAATTTAAACCCGTTACCCCTTGTCCTGTCACTACAGGCCCTTGTAAAAAATCGTCCCCCCAGCAACCCCCAGCTTCCTTGTAGCCAACCTTCAGGCACTGGAAGGTGCTATAAGGTCTCCCTGGAGCCTTCTCTTCTCCAGGCTGAACAAGCCCAACTCTCTCAGCCTGTCCCCATAGCAGAGGTGCTCCAGCCCTCTGAGCATCTTCGTGGCGTTCTCTGGACTCGCTCCAACCAGCAGTAGGAAGCAGCAGAAGGATTTTGTCTGAATGAGCTGTGGCCAGATGTGCACCGTTGTGAATATACAGTACCCCTTTCCCTTCCCTGTTTGTTTTTTTAGTGAGGAACATAACGCTTGGATGTTAAAGGCTTGTAGAAGCTTGCTCGTGCATCAGATTTAAAGATTTTAAGTAGCTAGGAAGTCAGTGGAAAATTTACTTTGCACTGGTTCAATGTCTTACGCATCCTTCAGTCAAACTGTAGCAACTGCAGTTCCAGAAGTGCAGTCAAGGACTGAACACTGACCAATCCCTTGGTATGAATAGATAATACAGCTATTTACATCACATTGTCAGCTTTGAATATCATTGTTTTACTTATTTGTGACAAATTTTCCTTTTTGTTGCAGATATGATCCTAATGTGAAAAGGAGAAGATAAACCGTGATCCAAATTTACAGTGATTCTCTAGCAAAACCTGCTTTCTGTTCCTTAGGTTTGCTGGCTGCAGTATGTAATACATACCTCTGTATGACCGTTTGAGCTGTCTGTTAGAGTAAGACTTGTTTTTAAGTCTTGCTTTTATTAAAGAGTAAGTTTCTTTCACTGTTTGGTACGTATGCATTGCACGATTTCAAGGCCTTAACATTACTCGCTTTGGAATAATGCTCAGGGAAATACCATAGATACTTCAGGCTTCACTTTGGGTTGTTTATTTCCAATGCTTGCTTGTCAGTACTACTTGGGGAAACAAAATAAACGAGGAAGCTAGCATCAGGCTCTTTTCTTCTCGGAAGGCCTTTAATTAGATTTTTGCATACTGTCTGGATTTTCTTGAAGTGGAGCTTTTTAAGGACTTCCTAAATGAGTTAGACCAAACTTTAAATTTGTATCTGAGTAAACAAAATGTATTTAATATCGATAAGGTCAAGCTGCTTCCTATTTTTGAAATTGGCGACATCAAATTGTTTGTACCCAGCCATCAATTTTGTGTGACTGCAGATTTGAAGCAAGTGTTTAAATTCTAAAATTCAGTGGTTTTGCCCTGTTATATCATCAGTATTTGTTTGAACAGCCTACATTTAGAGTACAAACACTCACAAAAACTGATACCAAAACTTTCTGCAGCAGTAAGCAGCAGTTTAATTTTTGTTTCTTGGGAAGGGGGAGAGATGCAAGTGCCATTTCTTTTTCTGCATATTTCCTTCCTTTTGCAAATAGGAGAAGGCTGTGTCTGAACATGGCTGTTTAAGCACAAAAGATGCATGTGGAAAGCCCAAAAGCTGCATGATGAGAACCATCGGATTATGAGTGTCTGTGTACTTCCCTGTAGCATTAAATGAGAAATAACCTTGTACATTTCTTAGAGGTGTAAATTCTGATATAATGATTTATCATCTTGTGCAGTTTGGTTTTATTTGTAATGAGACTCAAGTTAGAGGAGGAGAAGGCAGAATTTGATAGTTTCCAGGAGTCCCGGAGAGGGGTGGGGAAGTACCCCAAAGTTACGACTTAAAAATAAAAACTGGTTGGGGAACTCTCCCTGGAAAATTTAAAAAAAAACAACCAACAAAACAAAAAAACCCCAAACAAACTAAAAACCACTTGAAAGCTCCTGATCAGGGAGTGTCGAAGAAGCCAAATGAATCTTCTTAGCATTGGGCATCATGTCTGCTCTCTATGCCTTTAGTTTTCTCAGTCCCTGTGTAAAAAATCTGCTCTTCAAAATCATTCCATCCTCTATATCAACATGGAAAACTATGAAACACCCATTTTTAGGTTAGGACAGCTCATCTTTATGATCTGAGAATATGGAATTTGAAGGATTCCCCTGGAAGTACCATGGGAAAAGCCTTCCACGTTTTCTGCCCAGCTCTGTGAAGCCATCACATAGAGATGGACAGTAGCTCCATCGCATCCTGTTTCAAGAGGTAGGATCTCCTTCCTTATGTAAAGAACTAATTTGGTTGATGTAATTGAATTTAAATGCTGAGTAAGACAGCTGCTTCCTCCGGTGAGAGCTCAGAATGCACAGGTGGGCTGAGCTGAGCTGCTTCAAGCTGCTCTGTTGCGTATCAGATTTGAAGAACGACATCCTGAGGTCTGTGTGTATCAAGAAAGCAGATATGCTGAAGTCACCGTGGCTTGTGGTCACAGAGGATACATGGTCTTCAAAAACCAGTCTTTCCTCTGGTCTGTTTTAGCATCTTCTTGATCACTTGATCAGGACTGCCCAGAGTGATACACAAAGACTGGTACCTCTGAGTTCAGCAATAGCCATGAGAGTGTTCTGGTGTTTTAACTTGCGTCAGGGCACATCAGATCTTGTGCACTGAGTACCTTTAGAAAGATTGTTATTCAGCAGTTGAAGTATCTCCTGGAGGAGATGTACTGGCTGCTGTTTGTATGCACCCTCAGGAGAATTTTTCTGTGGTCACAATGAGAAGACCCACTGGTCCAATGGAGCACCTCTTGTAGACTGTTGAGGGTGACCTTTTTGATTGTTGTTACTAAACTGGAGCAAATAGCTTGGATAAGAGAGTATAAGTGGGCAACATCCTCCAGAAAAGTTGCGTTTAGAGTTGTAGAAAACAGAACTTGTCATTTCACCTTCAAAGTTCTCCAAAGATACAATGTACAGGGGGCCTTCTACAAGAAAGTAAAAGCTAAGTCCTTTGCTTCTCAGTCTGTAAGATTCAAGCAACCCCAGTGGCACCTCTGAGACCACTCATACTCACATTCCATGACCTGGGACTCTTCAAATGCAATTCTCCAGACAGCTGAACTGGGCAGCTTTGATACTTGAGATTATTTAGTGTCCTGAGACTGACGGACTCACCCACCACGTGTCTGGGGGAGCACCCGCAGACAAACACTTGGAGATTTCTTTATGGATCCTGTTTGGGATCATAGAATCATAGAATGGTTTAGGTTGGAAGGGCCCTTAAAGATGATCTAGTTCCACCCCCCCTGCCATGGGCGGGCCACCTGCCACTAGACCAGGTTGCTCAAAGCCTCAGCCAGCCTGGCCTTGAACACTCCCAGGGATGGGGCATCCACAGCTTCTCTGGGCAACCTGTTCCACTGCCGCACCCCCCTCTCCGTGAAGAACTTCTTCCTAAGATCTAATCTAAACCTGCCCACTTTCAATTTAACCCCATTCCCCCTTGCCCTGTCACTACAGGCCCTTGTAAAAAGTCCCCCCGGCTTCCTTGTAGCCCCTTCAGGTACTGGAAGGTCCTATAAGGTCTCCCTGGAGCCTTCTCTTCTCCAGGCTGAACAAGCCCAACTCTCTCAGCCTGTCCCCATAGCAGAGGTGCTCCAGCCCTCGGAGCATCTTCGTGGCCTCCTCTGGACTCACTCCAACTGGTCTATATCCGTCCCATGTTGGGGGTTCCACAGCTGGATGCAGCACTCCAGGTGGGGTCTCACAAGAGCAGAGCAGAGGGGGAGAATCCCCTCCCTCGACCTGCTGGCCACACTTCTGATACAGCCCAGGATACGGTTGGCTTTCTGGGCTGCCAGTGCACACTGCCGGCTCATGCCCAGATTTTCATTACCAGTACCCCCAAGTCCTTCTCCTCAGGTGTTCTCTGCATCAACACATCTAACATCCTATTCGCATGTCTTTACTGTCTTTCACAGACAGCTGTGTGCTTTTGAGAGGGGAGGGCAGTGTGGGGATTCCCATGTCAGAGCTCAAAAAAAAAACCCCAAGTTACGATCAGCACTTGGCTAAAGATACACCCAGTGTATGTTCCCGTTTTGGTCCCCCTTGAGGGTGCCTCATGGGTGACGGTTTGGTTTCTGATTCTGTTGCATCTGCTGTCTGGTTGATGAGAAGCCTGTATGTTCGTTAATGAACCTGAGCCCTTCGCTATTTCAGCATGAAGTTACGTTTGCGTTAAAAGAGAAGCTTAGACACCTAAACAGCTACCCCTTACCCAGGGCTTGACTTGTAATGCCAAAGTCATGTAACAAATCCTGTTCCTAATACTGAGACATTTCTTCCATTTTAGCATAATTTTGTCATGATTTTCAGCTCCAGCCATTAGAGGAAGCATGCTTGTTGGCTTACTGAGTTGAACCTTCTGTAAGTGAAGTTTCTCAGGTGGATGATAAAGGACAAGATTACATCATCCAAGTCTTGGGAGCATGAAAATCCAAAAGTTACATCAGTATTTGCCTTCCCCCTGGAACCATGACATTAACTTCACCTGATGTTTCGTTTATTTTAGGAAGCATCCTGTTGCGGGCTAACCCCAGCAGGCAGCTAAGCCCCGTGCAGCTGCTCACTTGCTCCCCCTGCAGCAGGATGGGGAGAATCAGAAGGGTGAAAGTGGGAAAAGTTACGGGTTCAGACAAAAACAGGGTAAGCAAAAGCTGTGAGCACAAGAAAGGGCAATTAACTCCGCATTCTGCAGTTGAGACTTTTGGCTACAGGCTCCATTTTCAGTCTGTGGGGCTTGTGCCCTGTGGTTTCAACAACCAGTTCACCAGTTTTCTGAAAGAACTTGTGTGATGTTTTCTTTAGAAGATTAAAAAAAACCCATTCTGTAAACTCAGACCTGACATCTAAGGTTTCTCTCATCTGCCTCAAACCACAGTCAGCAAGCATACCCACCTTTTTCACAAAATGCTGCTCTTCACCTAAAAATAAATCTAAGCAGAAACTTATCTTCAAATCTTGTTTCTTGCATTTTTCTGTGTAGCAGTTTCTTTGAGGGGTTTGTTAGGACTGCTCTTTTACAGCATGGATTATCTTTGCTCACACTGCTTACAGGAAGGAGATGCACACAATAAATCAACTAAACAGAGTTTTTATTAGCAAGGCTTTTAAGATACAGGCTTTCATTCAGCAGCTTAGCTGAACGCAGTTTAAAGCAGACTGAATTAATTCATGCCCCACTGAAACAAGACGGGTGCTGCATCCCTGCAGGAACAACATGCTTAATTTTCCAGTTTAACTCACACCAATTTCAGCTGACTTCCCATCTCTCCTGCATCAGTTGGGAAAGCCACTGCCTTTTTTGGCAAGACTACCAAGATACTCTCACTGTTGAAGTGTTTTCTGTTTCTCTGTGTTCGCATCTGTGACCAGTTGACACTTCTCCTGCCCTTACTCCCCGTTTTCTGCCAGAAGGCATGGGGGGCTGGTGCAGCAGGGCTGGCCTCTCTTGTGTCATTGCACCAGTTCCTGTATCCTGAAAGCGTGTTTGCAGTCAGCTTCAGTTTCTTACCTCCACCGACCTCGCCATCAACTTCCTCCAGAGTGCTAAGCCCCTTCATTACCTCCACATTCCTGATGTGCATGTGCTAGTAATCATCAGCATCAGTTCCTGACCCATACACCGGCTGTCGTCTCTGCTACAGCCCTACCTCCAACCTACTCCTGTTTCTGGCTTGCTTTGTGCAGGTGTTTTCTCAGTCCTGATTCTTAC